TTCCCCAACACATGCATACAAACATACATAAGCATATGTATGTATGTAACAACAACCATAAACGTACATATACATATATTGTATTTATGCTTGTACAGTGAAAAGTGGAGTGATGTGAGGTACTTCATATGTACGTACGTATATATGTATGTATGTATGTGAGCATAGGCGACAAGCCATGCAAGCAGCAAGCTGAAGAGGCGAGGTGAGGCAAGACAACAAACCAACCAAACAACCAGCCAAGCAAGCAGGCAAGCCAGCCAGTGAGCTAGCGTACAAAGCATGCAAGATATGAGACCGTGGGAAAGAACATTCAAAGTCGTTCGTTTACCGTTCGTGCTCGGCTTCGGGCGTACCAGCGCGTCAGATGGCTTGTCGTTACATTACATGTTGTTTTTGTGTTTTCGCTGCTGCTGCTGCTGCTGCCAACGACTTTGTTTTTATTTTATTTTTATTACTACTTTATTTTCTTCTTTTTTTGTTTATTTGTGATAATATTTTCTTTATTTTTGTTGTAAGTGTCGTTTTTCTTGACTTCGTCTTCGGTTTGTTTATGTTTTGCGCTATTTTGTCTTTTCGGGTTTTCGTCGCTGTGTATAGTGTGCTGTAGTGTAATGTATACATACATACATATACATATATATGTACATATTTATAAGCTCGTTTTCGTTTTCGTTGTCGTCTTGTGCTTCTTGCTTGCATTTTGTTTTACCTACTAGGCTTTTTGAAGTCTCGCTTTTGTTGTCCCTCTTTGCTTGCGTTTTTCGGCATTTCTTTGTTTGTTTGTTTTACAATTTCTTGTCTGTTGTTTGTCTTTTATGCTGAGTTAGCGTTTTTGGAGCACCACCACTCATTCACTTTATAACTCTCTCTCGCTCTCTCTCTGGTTTCTGGGATCTTGGTTTATTGTTATAATGCTTTTGCTGTTCGAGTCTCGAATGGGAGCTCGACTTTTACCGCTATTGTCTATACTGAGCTCTCCCGCCAACAGTTCTCTCTGTTCAGCTCTCTACGTTATAAAAGCCGGTCTTCAAGACCAACTCATACCTGTCTTATAAACAATTTGTGCTCACTTACGGAGTATGGATTTATGTTCATATATATATATTTGTTGCCGGGAGGTGCATATACATACATACATGACGATTTAAATGCAAGCCGACAGTCAATGCATACACCGACATATATATTTATTGATTATGTATGTATGTATGTATATTTCTTATTTAAAAATAGCCTGTCCACTTTGCCTTCCGATTTTCTCACAAGTCTTCTTACTCGCTTGCTCTCTTTTAGACGTAAATTGTCTTCATTATTTTTGGTCAAATCTTTATTTCTTCCATAGACTTTGCACTTACATTCTTGTGTTTTATTAGTAACTTCGTGCTTTATTTGGTTATTTGCATTCCTCTTTACCTTCCACATTCTCCCAGCTTGAAATCTAGCTATTTATACGTACATATGTATGTATATATAGGTATTTTTTGTTTGTCTCTTAGCCACTGTAGACATGTGTAACACAGCTGCACTTTTCGAGATTTATGCGTGAGCTACAATAACAACAACAACAACAACAACAAGCTGCTGCAGCAGCAGCGCACAAAAATCCTACCAACCAGACCTGGTTCTCAAGGGCGACGGTGGTAAAAGATTTAAGCTCGTGAGTGTGTACATACATAAATCTGTATGTAGGAGATTTAGTTTATTTATTTAGCCGTAGTTTTCGTTTCGCTTTTCACTAGGCGTGTATGTACATGTGTCCATAGAATACAAATCGATAACCAATCCCAGCTCGGGAATGCAATTCAAAGCAGACAATAAAATTCGCTACTCCATGGCATTATGAACATGCTGGCATAAGATCCCCCCGACTTCCAATGATTCAGTACACTCACACATACATACCATTATATAGATAAAATTAAAAAAAAAAAAAAATCTCTGAGCGAACACTCACTTGCCTGACAATATCGCCTTCATAATGCGCCAATCTACATGGCTATTGTATTGGACCAAAGAGCAATTCGCCGCAATCAACGAAATACTATTTAAGACGCTTAACACTCTATTGGGCTTGTGCGCAGGCGCATATTGCATATACATACTTACATACGAGTTAGGAGTGTGTGTATATTTAAGAGCTGATTTTGCTGCATTTTGACCATAGTTTTCTCCCAACTCAGATTGTGGCATACATTTTTGGCAAACGCTTAAGCGCAGTTTGGGGGGTGGGGAGAGTTTGTTCGCTGCTTGACTCTATGCAACGCGCCGTTGCGACAAGCCGCGACTGAGTGGACTTTGGCATTAATTTGCATAAGCATGAGTAATGCCTCAAATTTGGCTAACAAGCTAGTCTAAGCATGGACTACATACAAACATACATATAGACATAGCAACTTAGATGCGGTGCAACCGCTAATGCTTTTAGGCAGCTAAGAAAAACAGGATTTTTGTTTTTGCATGCAATATTTGTTTAGTTTTCTTGTAATTTTTTCGCTTGTCTGCATTTTTCAGTGCACTAATTCCTTTATTATATTACCGTTGCGTTCAAGACTTTTTATTCTTTCTTTCCTTTTTTTCCTTTTTTTGTTGCTTATTTTATTTTTTTTTTCCTTCACTTAACAGCCGCTGGCTAATAATGCATAATGACGCTTTGTTGTGTGCAAGAAAATTTCAATAATGATTGACTTTGACTAACTGAAATGATTTACCTTTTTATGTTATACGAAAAATTCATTAAAAAAATTTGTTTTTGGTCGGGCTATGTCAAGAGCTACATGCATATGTATGTATGTACTTGTTATTTATGTACAATATTTACTTTTTAAACATACACAAAAAAAAAAGAAAAAAAATTATTTTTAACCTATAATAACTTGTGTGCGTTTAGTCCAAATCGATTGGGGTCAATAATTTTTTGAGGGAAAAAATTGTGCTGTTGCAGTGAGCGTGCATTGTGAAGGCGTGAGAATTGCTCGGGTGGACTTTCGGTTTATAATTTACATACGTACATATATGAATGGATATATGTGAATACGTATATGCACTTATTAAAGTTTTTATGACATTACTATTGTCTTTATTGAAATAAATTTAAAAAAAAATTTGAAATAAAAAAAAATTAATTATAAAAAAATTAAATTAAATAAACTAAAATAAAAAATGCAAAGAAACATAAATGAAAAGAAAAAAATTAAAATAAAAAAATTTAAGAAATAAAAAATCAATATAAAAAATATATAATTTAGAACTACATTAAAATTAAATTAATAAAAAAATAAAATAACATAATATTAAAAAAAAACTATTACATTAATAAGTTCATATTTTTTCTTGATTAATCAACACTAAAACCAAAAAAATTAATTAATTTAGAAACATAAAAATAAGCAAATTGAAATGAGCTACAATTATCATTTTAAATAAATAAATATATAAATAAAAATACAATATAATACAATATATTACACAGACGTAATACATAAAAAGGAAATAACATAAAATAAACCAAATAAAATAAGACAAGATTAATATATTAAATTATATATATATAAAATAAAATCAAATAATACAAAATCAGATAAAGAAAAAGTTAAACATAGAAAACAAAAAGACACAAATAAAACAAGGTAGAGTAAATTTAAATGAAATAGCAAAAATATCTATAAAAGAAAAGATTGAAAAAAAATAAAATTGAATGAAAAAAACTAAATTTAAAAATAAATTTCAATAAATATAAGCAAAAACAAAAAAATATATGAAAAAATGTAAAAATATGTAATGAAAAAAGTAAAATAAAATTAGGAACACAAAAAAAAAATATATAAAGTAAAATAAATCAAATAAAATAAAAATAAATATGAAATTAAAATCGAAAAGGTAAAATAAAATAAAAAGAATAGGGTAAAACTAAATAAAATACAATGAAAAATAGAAATAAAAAAAATAATAAAAAAAGAAAAAATTAAAACAAAATTTTACAAAATAAAATATAAATCAAATAAAATAAAAGTAAAACAGAAGAATATAAAATAAAAAACAAAGATGCAAAAATAAATTAAATAATATAAAATTCAAATAAGATAAAAATATAATATATTATAATGTAATCCAAATGCAATAAAAATTAACATAAAAAGGTAAAATAAAATAGAATAAAATATAAATCAAATAAAATAAAAATAAAGTGAAATAAAATAAAATAAAAAAAATTCCAATAAAATAAAAAATAAAAAAGCTAATTAAAAAAAAAATAAAAGAAAAGAGCAAATTAAAAAAAGCAAATAAAAAAGTAAATTTAAAAAAAATAAAAAAAAAATTAAAAAAATGAAATAAATGCAAATGAATAAAACAGATATAATTCAAATTAAACAAAAAGAAAAAAATCAACTAAAAAAAAAAATAAAAAAAAAAAAAAAAAAAAAATGTGTGCCTTGTAACCGCTGAAGCGATTTTCCGTCGACATCCTCATCCAATTTGTGGTTTTGCGTCTGGGTGTTTTTCCAACAAATAGAGGGACAGTTTACACTAAGCCACCTCCAAGCGGCTGAGTGTTTTTTATGAGGAGCTGTAATTTCAAGTCAGAAATACACTCGGAGGTGTTGACATTTCCTGCCGAGGGGCGGCCGCAATTAGAAAATCTATGGATATTGGTCATACCTGGATTTGAACACGAGCCTTTCGAATGGCAGTACGCAAGAGCTGTCGGGGCGCATACATCGACATCTTTGCAAAATTTGGTCGAATAGTGTGCTCTGCCCAAAACGCAAAAATGGTACCCTACAATCATTGTGGGATAAGTCTCCTCAATATCGCATATAAAGTCTTATCGAACATATACGTTTTTTTTTCTCTTAAATAGTTAGAAGCTCTCCAGTATTATCAAATCTGAAATCTCTTCTGACAGCATTTACTACATCTACGTTTTAATGCCAATTCCAAAGTGACACTTTTTCCTAACTCCCATTCTAATAAAATTCTCACCATTCTTCTCTTTGCAGGCTTTCGTGGTAAACATTGTGATGAAAATATCGATGACTGTCCCGGAAATTTGTGTCAGAATGGTGGCACCTGTATAGACGGTATTAATACATATCGTTGTACATGCCCACCCAATTTCACTGGCGAACTCTGCGAAGAAGACGTGGATGAGTGCGCTATGCGGTGAGTATCAAAGAGAAATACGATTTTGTTTAAAAACTAAAAGTTCTTTAAAAATAAACATTTTCGAGTCATGAAAATATTTAAACTAAAATTTTTTCCCTTCTAACACACCTATCTTCCCCCGCACAGCCCATCGGTATGTCAAAATGGCGCCACATGCACGAACACACACGGCAATTATTCTTGCATCTGCGTAAATGGTTGGGAGGGTCGTGATTGCAGCGATAATGTCGATGATTGCGTTGCAGCGGCGTGTTTCTACGGCGCCACCTGCATAGATGGTGTGGGCTCATTCTACTGCCGCTGTACGCCAGGAAAGACTGGTCTACTGTGTCATTTAGATGATGCTTGCACTTCGAATCCATGTCATAAGGATGCTATATGCGATACGAGTCCCATAAATGGTTCTTACACTTGCTCTTGCGCCACCGGCTATAAGGGTATGGACTGCTCGGAGGATATCGATGAATGTGATCAGGGCTCGCCGTGTGAACATAATGGTATCTGTGTGAATACGCCGGGCTCGTTTAGATGCAATTGCTCACAGGGCTTTACCGGACCACGTTGTGAGACGAATATCAACGAATGTGAATCACATCCTTGCCAGAACGAGGGTAGTTGCTTGGATGATCCTGGCACCTTCCGTTGTGTCTGCATGCCCGGTTTCGCTGGCACACAGTGCGAAATTGATATTGATGAGTGCCAATCAAATCCCTGCTTGAACGGTGCCACCTGCCACGACATGATTAATGGGTTTAAATGTTCCTGTGCGCTTGGTTTTGCCGGTACACGTTGTCAGATAAACATAGATGATTGCCAATCGCAGCCTTGTCGAAATAATGGCATATGTCACGACTCCATCGCAGGTTATACGTGTGAGTGTCCGCCTGGTTATACGGGCGCGTCTTGTGAAATTAACATCAACGATTGCGACTCGAATCCCTGTCATCGCGGTAAATGTATTGATGGCGATAACTCCTTCAAGTGTGTCTGTGATCCGGGGTTCACCGGCTACCTCTGTCAGACGCAAATCAACGAATGCGAGTCCAATCCGTGTCAGTTTGGTGGCCATTGCATCGATCGAGTCGGCTCGTACCTCTGTAAGTGTCTGCCCGGCACCTCGGGTAAGAACTGTGAAATAAACGTGAATGAGTGTCACAGCAATCCGTGTAATAATGGCGCCACCTGCATTGACGGCATCAATAAGTACACTTGTGAATGTGTGCCCGGTTTCACTGGTCTACATTGTGAGATCAACATCAATGAGTGCGCATCGAACCCATGCGCTAACAACGGCGTCTGCATGGATATGGTAAACGGCTATAAGTGCGAATGTCCACGTGGTTTCTACGATGCGCGCTGTCTGAGTGATGTGGACGAATGTGCGTCCAATCCGTGCATCAACGGTGGCCGTTGTGAGGACGGTATTAACGAGTTCATCTGTCACTGTCCGCCAGGCTATGGTGGCAAGCGCTGCGAGATTGATATAGACGAGTGTAGCTCGAACCCATGCCAACATGGCGGCATCTGCATTGACCAGCTTAACTCCTTCCAGTGCCAGTGCATGCCTGGTTACACGGGCTACCGTTGCGAAACCAACATTGACGATTGTATCATGAATCCGTGTGTGAATGGCGGTTCTTGCATTGATCTGGTGAACGGCTACAAGTGTGTCTGCAAAGTGCCTTTTACAGGCAGAGATTGTGAGTCAAAAATGGATCCTTGTTCGACACACCGCTGCCGCAATGACGCCAAGTGCACGCCCTCACCCAACTTCCTGGACTTCTCCTGCACCTGTAAACTTGGCTACACGGGGCGTTATTGTGATGAGGATATCGACGAATGCGCGCTCTCATCGCCCTGTCGTAATGGCGCGACTTGTCTCAACGTGCCCGGCACCTACAAGTGTCTCTGCGCCAAGGGCTACGAGGGTCGTGACTGCGCAATCAACACGGACGACTGTGCATCCTTCCCTTGCCAGAACGGTGGCACGTGTCTGGATGGCATCGGCGACTATACGTGTCTCTGTGTAGACGGTTTCGATGGGAAACATTGTGAAACGGATATCAATGAGTGTTTGAGTTTGCCGTGTCAGAATGGCGCTACATGCCGGCAGTATGTCAATTCCTATACGTGTACATGTCCACTCGGATTCTCCGGCATCAACTGTCAGAAGAACGACGAAGATTGTACGGAGAGCTCCTGCATGAACGGCGGTACTTGCATCGACGGCATCAACAGCTACAACTGCTCCTGTCTGCCCGCCTTTACGGGCTCCAACTGTCAGTATAAGATCAATAAATGCGACTCACAGCCTTGTCAGAACGGCGCCACATGTCACGAAAGTGGCGATGAGTACACATGTCACTGCCCTCATGGCTACACCGGCAAACAGTGTACGGAATATGTGGACTGGTGTTCGCAGTCGCCATGTGAGAATGGTGCCACCTGTTCACAGATCAAGAATCAATATAATTGCAAGTGCGACGCTGGTTGGACGGGCAAGTTATGCGATGTGGAGATGGTTTCCTGCGAGGTGGCTGCTATGCGTAAAAAAGTCGGCCTGAAACAACTCTGCAACAACGGAACCTGCAAAGAGATGGGCAATATGCACTTGTGTCTGTGCAAACAGGGCTACACGGGCAGTTATTGTCAGACGGATATCAACGAGTGTGAGTCGCAGCCTTGTCAAAATGGCGGTACCTGCTTGGACCGCGTTGGCGAGTACAAGTGTATGTGTCCCAAGGGTTTCCAGGGACAGAATTGTGAACTGAACATCGATGATTGCTCGCCCAATCCTTGCCAGAATGGCGGTACCTGCCATGACTTGGTGCAATCTTTCAGCTGCTCCTGCCCACCCGGCACCTTGGGTATTATCTGCGAGATTAATCAGGAGGATTGTGTGCCCGGCGCCTGCCACAACAATGGTTCTTGCATTGATCGTGTAGGAGGCTTTGAATGTGCTTGCCCAGCCGGTTTCGTGGGTTCACGTTGTGAGGGTGACATTAACGAGTGCCTCTCTAATCCTTGCTCGAATGCTGGCACGCTTGACTGTGTGCAACTAGTGAACGACTTCCACTGCAACTGCAAACCGGGGTATATGGGACGACATTGTGAAATTAAAGTAGACTTTTGCGCCAACTCGCCATGTCAAAATGGGGGCATCTGTTCGACGAAGCAGTCGGGCCATCATTGTGTCTGCCAGGTGGGCTTCTACGGCAAGAATTGTGAGTTTTCTGGCAACGATTGTGATTCAAATCCCTGTCAAGCGGGCAACTGCGTGGTGGATATGATGCGCGGCTATCGTTGTGAGTGTCCACCGGGCACGGAGGGTATGCAGTGCGAGATCGATATCTTGGATGAGTGTGCCTCGAATCCCTGTCTGCAAGGCGCTGCTTGTGAGAACCTTCTCGGCGATTTTGTCTGCTTCTGCCCCAGTAAATGGCCTGGTAAGCGTTGTGAGATCTATGATGCCAACTATCCCGGCTGGACTTCGGACAGTAGTCGTGCTCCGCTTAACAAATACTCTAAAGACTTGGAATATCAACGCGAAATGTGCATCAAACGTGGCTGCGAACAGAAAAAGGGTAATCATAAGTGCGATCAGGAGTGTAACACCTACGCCTGCAACTTCGATGGCAACGACTGTTCGCTGGGCATCAATCCATGGGTCAACTGCAGCGCCACGATCGAGTGCTGGCGTGTCTTCATGGACGGCCACTGCAATGAGGAATGTAATAATGCCGCTTGTCTATTTGACGGACGAGATTGCGCTAAGAAACTGCAGCCCTGTAATCCGACATATGAAGCCTATTGTCAAAAACACTACGCTGACGGTCATTGTGATTATGGCTGCAATAATGCCGAATGCAACTGGGATGGTTTAGATTGTGAGAATAATCTGGAGCAACCCAATTTAGCGGACGGCGCCATCTCTGTTGTTATGCTGATGGACATCAAGACTTTCCGTGAGAAGCAAGTGGAGTTCTTGCGCGAGATGGGACATATGCTCCGCACGACTGTACGCATCAAAAAGGATTCAATGGGCAATGATATGATATTCTCTTGGAAGGGTACTTCACACCTGACTGAACTGGAAAACTCTGAGTTTGGTCGTAAGCATCGTATACTCTCAAGTGAGCGTAACGACCAAACGGGCATACAGATCTATTTGGAGATCGACAATCGCAAGTGCATTGATTGCTTTAACCGCGCTGCCGAAGCTGCTGAGTTCTTGGCGGCCTCCGCAGCCAAATATACGCTCTCACCAAAGTTCCAGATCTACAGCGTACGTGGTGTACAAAACCCAGGCGAAGATGTGGAGGAGCGACCCAGCAACGTGAAGTATGTACTCATCGGCATCAGTATTGTGGTGTTCGCCTTCCTCGGTGTGCTCGTTACCACGCAACGTAAGCGCGCACATGGCATCACCTGGTTCCCGGAGAACTTCCGCACGACCACCTCTACAGCGGTGAACCATCAACGCCGGCGACGCGACGCCGGTCAGGAGATGCGCAATTTGAATAAGAATCCTTCGATCGCCTGCATGAGCAATGATGTGAACATGAATTCCGGTCACATGGGCCATGCACCACAATGGTCGGATGACGAATCTGAATTGCCACCACAGAAACGTATGCGCAACGAACACGGCGGTTATGCTAGTGATCACACAATGGTCACCGATTACGAGGAAGCGGATCCACGCGTCTGGTCTCAGGCACATCTCGAAGTCGCTGACGTGCGCTCCTCAATTATGACACCACCGGCCCACCAGGATGGCAAGCACGACGTGGATGTACGTGGTCCCTGCGGTATGACGCCACTCATGGTTGCTGCTGTGCGCGGTGGCGGCTTGGATTCAGGCGAGGATATTGAAAACTCTGATGATCAAACTGCACAGGTAATTTCCGACTTATTGGCACAAGGCGCTGAGCTGAACGCTACCATGGACAAGACAGGTGAAACATCCCTGCATTTGGCTGCGCGTTATGCGCGCGCTGACGCTGCTAAACGTTTACTCGATGCGGGTGCTGATGCCAATTGCCAAGATAACACCGGCCGTACACCGCTACACGCAGCCGTCGCTGCCGATGCGATGGGCGTTTTCCAAATACTGCTACGCAATCGCGCTACCAACTTGAACTCGCGCATGCACGATGGTACCACACCACTCATACTTGCCGCACGTCTGGCCATCGAGGGAATGGTCGAAGATTTGATCACTGCCGATGCTGATATTAATGCAGCCGACAATTCTGGTAAGACTGCACTGCACTGGGCAGCCGCTGTCAACAACACGGAAGCTGTGAATATACTGCTCATGCATCATGCCAACCGCGACGCACAAGATGACAAAGACGAAACACCGCTTTTCCTCGCAGCACGTGAGGGCTCGTATGAGGCCTGCAAAGCGTTGCTGGATAACTTTGCCAATCGTGAGATTACCGATCACATGGATCGTCTGCCACGTGATGTCGCCTCAGAGCGTTTACACCATGACATCGTCATATTGCTGGACGAACATGTGCCGCGCTCACCACAAATGATGGCCATGACCCCACAGACTATGATCAGTTCACCGCCACCTGGCAACCAGGGGCAAGTCATTGCACAGCCCACCGTTATTTCATCATCAAAACAGCCAGCACCGACAACAAAGTCAAAAGCGGCGAAAAAGGCAAAGCTATTGGAGGGCAGCCCGGACAATTTACTCGACGGCGGCAGCTTGCGACGCAAACCGGGCTCAAAAAAGGGAGCAGGGGGCTCAGTGTCAAAAAAGGGCGGACAAAACGGCCTTACGGCAGCACAACTGCTGAATGGCTTGGGTGGTGGGCTGACAGCACACGGCCAGGGCCTGGAGGGAGTGGACCAACAACAGCTGTTGGATGCCGGTCTCAGTGCGGTGGACTCGCCGCCGCTGACGGGTCTAACAAGCCAGCCGAGTCCTTACGACACGTCGTCAATGTATTCGAACGCGATGGCGGCACCAACACACCACCACAACGATCTGCTGGGCAACAGCAACGGTGCGAAACAACCACCCAGTTATGAAGACTGCATAAAGGTGAGTAGCGAGGGGGCGGGTGGTAAATGAAATTGAATAATTTATTTGAAAATTTTGTCTAGAATGCGCAGACTATGCAAAGTTTAGTCCAACAGCAGCAACAACAACAACAGCAACAGCAAAATAATATGGATTTAATTAAAATGGAAAATTACGTTTACTCACGCGGTTCGCCCTTTCATCAGGAAATGCTGAACCAGAAGGGCAACAATCAGCAAAGCATGAACACGCTTTGCGGTGGTGGTGGCGGCGTAGGCGGTGGCGGTCCTGGAAATCTCGGCCACAGCGGCCCTGGTAACATGGGCCAACACGAGCAGGGTCTGAGTCCGCCGTACTCGAATCAATCACCGCCACATTCCGTGCAGAGCAGCATGGCGCTGTCCCCGCACGCCTACTTGGGTGAGTAAAACATGAAAACAAAATAAAAGTGGGGAAAAAATTAATGAAAACTGCTCTTGTTTTTCTTCTCCTAGGCTCTCCATCGCCCGTTAAAACACATCCCAGCCTGCCCACCTCACCCACACACATGCAGGCGATGCGCCATGCGACACATCAGAAGCAGTTCGGCAATAATGTCAACTCCCTGCTAGGTGGCGCTGCTAACAATACAAATAGCAACTCTACCAATGGGCCACAGAGTAATGCGTCGATGAATTCGCCGCAAAGCATGAGTTTTCAATCGCCAAGCAGTCAGAGTTTGTCGCAGCAAAATTCTCCGGTGAGTGTTGGTATTGTATCGCCAACGGGTAGTGATGGCATGATGATGGCGCCACAACAAACACAGCAGCAGCAGCAACAGCAACAACAACAGCAGCTGCAACAGCAGCAGCAACAACAACAACATCAGCAGCAGCAGCAGCAGCAACAACAGAACTCGAAGAGTAGTGCAATAATGCAAACAATGCAACAACACCAACAACAGCTTGCGAGTCTCGATTTCGGTACGGCCGGTTTGGACCTGAATGGCTTTTGTGGATCGCCAGGTAAGTGTCGTTTTAATGGATGAGAAGTTGAATGTGGGGATTTCAAGAAAGGGTCCGCCAGTTTTTATATTTGCTTAATGCCATCTATGAGCTCTTTTTACTGCCTTTTGCATTACGTGTTTGACCATCTTCAACTTTGATATGAAGTTTGTCTCCCAAAAAGGAGTCAGTGGGGTTTATATGTGGAGATCTGGGTGAACAGTTAATGTCATCTGAGGTACATAGAATTCTCACTGCGGAATAATAGTGTGTTTTACAGTGTATTATAGAGTGCCGTCTGACTTCGGCGAGCCATCAAACAAAGGAAAGATATCGACCAATATCTACCCTATCTTCAGTAGCCTACCACTTTCGTTTGCTACCTGACCCCCTGCGGGTTAGGGGCTCAAGAATTTACCCGCGGTAAGGCATGCCTGTCGTAAGAGGCGACTAAAATCCAATAGTTCTCGGGACAGTCGGGTCTTTATACCGGAACGACGCGGATTTTTATCCGGCCAAGGACTGACACTCCCGCAACATTCTCCAAAAAGTACTTTGGGGAATAATTTTGCGGTTACAACAACAACAGCAACCATCTGAACCCAGCAGCACGTCAACAAGACTTTGGCAAAAAGCGCACAAAAATTCCAATTAACGCCATAAATGGAGTAAAGCATAGCCAAAATCGCTCCTGGACGCGAACTGTGTTCATTGTCATGTTGATTTATCAGTTAACTAAGCATTCAATTATTTTTTTAATTACTAATCGCAAGTTAATTATATGAAGTATTGATATTCTTAATATATTGTATATATATATATATATAGAGGTGTGTGTATATATTTTCCTCAATAATTAATCATACTCTATTTTTCTCTCTCTGTCTTTCTCTCCTCAGATTCCTTTCATTCCGGCCAAATGAATCCACCATCAATACAGAGCACAATGTCGGGCTCCTCACCCGCTACCAATATGCTCTCGCCATCATCGCAACACAATCAGGCCTTCTATCAGTATCTAACACCGACGAGTCAACACTCCGGTGGCCTAACACCACAACATCTAGTGCAAACACTCGATAGCTATCCAACGCCATCACCGGAATCACCCGGTCATTGGTCGAGCGCATCGCCACGTTCCACATCCGATTGGTCGGAGGGTGTACAATCGCCAGCGGGTAATAATTTGTACATTTCCGGTGGGCATCAGGCTAATAAGGGTTCGGAGGCGATTTATATTTGACAATAAGCGCAGGTGACAGTGGTTAGCGGAGGAACGACGAATAGATGGTGAAGCTGCTGTTGCTGCTGCTGTGCGGAAACACACTGCATAGTGTGTGTGTGTGAGTGTGACTGTATGCTTGTGGGTGTGATTGCGTTGTGTATGTTATATGTGTGGGTGGAAGTGTGAATGATTTATGTAAACAATTATAGTATCCTAAAATTATAGAAATACATACTTACAATTATATATATGTATGTATGTATGAAATAATAGCATGTATTTTTGTACAAAACAAAAAAAGATAGTAAAATCGTTTGAGATCATATAAAGAGCGAAAAATGAGTATAAAATGTAATAAACAAAAAAACAATTATTATTTAATATTAAACGTGTAAAAGAAAACAAAACAAACGAACGAACTGAAAATATTAACAAATGTGGCGGTTAAAGTGTTGCTTGCTAAATTAATTAAAATCGTTTTAACAATTTACATATAAATAAATATTTGCATTTATTGTTATTGTTATTACACTTTATATACATACATACTGCATAGTTTCTGAAGCATTCTTCAATGCAAGCAACACACACCTAGCTGCATTGAGACTTACACACATACATACATATGTATGTTACACATTTGAATATGCTTCCTTTTCAAAAAAGGAAGTCAGCCATATTTTTTAAGTATGCAACATTTTATACATACATATATATGACTATATAATTAGCATACAAATACTACACTATATAAATATATGAAATCTAAAAAACATATTAAAACAAAATACATATAATATCTACACGCATATATATGTACATAAATATGTGCAAGAGTTGAGGTGCCTAATGTAAATTATTATTGTCCACTATTAATTTTTAATATGCCGCGTATAAAACTGGACCTTGCAAACGAAACTATACTACATGCATACATACAATAGCATATGTATATAGTATACTTGCATAGTTACATAGTACATACAAAAATACCATTAATAAACAAATAAACATAAAAAAAAATCAGCTGCAAAAAAGAAACTCACAATTGAAACTCCTAACAGAGTAGTTAATACATACATACATACATACATGCATAATTGTGTATATAATACAATACAATGCATACAACGATGTTTGTAGGTTTGTATATGTATGGAAAAAATTAAATATATATATATATTCAAATAAAATAAAAAAGTAGTTTTACACTTAGCACAACTGTAGCGAATGTATTGCGAGAAAACAGCATAACTCAATATGAAATTTTTCAAAAAATAAAAAAATGTTTTATGTACAATTAGCAATTTTGAACAAGGAAAAACTGTAAATTTATTTATTTTTTTTTTTATTTAAAGAATATCAAACTTACGACAAATATGAAGAATTTCAGCTAAATATTGTGTGTTTTGGACTGAGTGCTGTAGATTTTATTTGGAAAATAGTCTAAAAATATTAAATATAATTATTTGTATTTTAGAAGTTCATAAGAAGAGCTTAAAGAGCGATTTTTTGTATTATCTCAGCCTGAGTTTTTGTTTTAATCCTAAAGTTGACTACAACGAATATTAACTAAAAATGATTGGTTGCAATCGAAATTTCTGATTTTTTCTAACGTTCAATTTATTTAGCAATGCTTAGAAAACATTTTCTTTAAAAAAATTGAAAAAATGAAATATGACAAACAACATAACAGCAGAAGCAAGCTGTTAATAAAAAATCCAAAAAATGTAATCTGTAATGGAAATGTAAATAATAGAAAAGTTGTTCAAAATATCCTTTAAAATGGCCATTTATGACACACATATATACAATACAGAAAAATTGGTTCAAAATGAAATATTGTTGCCCACCAATAGTTAAAAAACTAAGCCTTATTAGTAAAATTAATTTCAAAAATACTTAAAAATTCCGAGTTGTTTCAAGTTTAAAAATATTTTCCCAAAATTAAAAAAAAGTTATAATTTTCCATTTAGAATTCAAATTATAAATTATTAAAATACTTAATTTTTATGCAAATTAATTCAATTCAATTTAGCGAATATAAAAAAAAAATTTAATTAATTGTTATTTCAATCATTTATATTCAAGTCACAAATCTCAGTATTTCTAATATTTTCAACAGAAGTGTAAATTTTAAATTTTCAGTAAGGCATACAATCGTTTGAAACTTAATTAAACAAAAATTAAATATTAAAAAAAGGTTTTAAATTAAGAAAATAAAGTTTTTAATTTTTTACGATTTGATTAAAGATAAAAAATCCAAAAATTGTTTGAAAATCGTATTAACAACAGATAAAAATATTAAAAAAAAAAATTAAAAATTAATTTAAAAAAATACACCTTAAGATTTTTTTTGTTTGCAAAATAAGTTTTGGGACTTGTTTAAAATATTTAAATAAATTAAAAATTAATTAAAGAAATTAAAAATTATTTTAAAAAAGTACCTTTTTCGTTTTCAAAATAAATTTTGCGCTTTGATTAAAATATTTACATAAATTAAAAATTATTTAAAAATATATAAAAAATAATTTAAGAAAATATTTTGTTCGTTTCTCAAAATAAATCTTACGACTTGATTCATAATTCCAAAAATCGTTGGAAAATTTTAAAATCATAGCAGCTACATATGTAGATATTTAAATAAAATTTTAAAATGTGTTAAAAATTTACTTTGTGGTTTTCAAATCTAATTTAGTCACTTCACTTAAAATTTATTTAAATTCCACGTTGCAAAACTCACCGCAAGTAGTCTTTAAAATTGCTTAAAACTCTAAAAATGTTTTCAATAATTTTTTATTATATTTTTTTAATTAGTTTCCAAATAAATTTTATGCCACTCAGTCTGAGCATTCAATATGCTTGATTAATTGTTATTGATATTAGCGTGATTTTTTTGCGTATAAAAATGTACAGTTGTTCAAAATTGCAAATTTTTACAACAACAAATTGAGTTAGAAGACAAAATGAGTATTAAAAAAATGTTTAGTGCTACAAATGCAAAAAAGCGAAGAAGCAATCGACAAATTGAAGACAATCTAGACTTATTTTATTACAAAAAAAAAATTGAGAAATAAATAAATAATTATATTAATTGAATTTAATTAAAAGACATGCTTCAATATCTTGAAATAGATATTTACATACATATGTATAACTGTGTATTTAGACATGGAAAATACAAGTGAAATGTTAGCCTTAAGTGCGCTGAAAAATCTTCCAATAATGTTAGGTATTAAAAAAATTATGCTGTTACAAATTTAAAGAAAAAAATTAATTATTATGATATTTTGCTAAAGTATCTCAATATAAAATATGCAAATATTTAATACAAAAGTAAATAAATTAAATTAATTCTAAATAAATGATTAACACACATATATGCGTGTACTAGAAACGCTAGCTAGCAAGTAACTGTAAAAAGTATCTCATGTCTATGACTTAAGTATAACTATTAAGTCTAGTTGCTAAGTTGTCCAAAAAAAAAAATTTAGTAAAAATCACTTTTTATTAAATACATTTGAGCTTTTTGCACTATGCGTATTATTTAATGTTTTTTTTAATGTACATTAAACGAAATTATTTTCATTAAAATTTGTTTAGTAAATATCTAATACATTTAGGTAGTGGTAGGCGCATAGTTTTTTTTTAAATTAGCTTATAGTTAATTTTTTTTTTAATAATTTAAGCATTTTAAATTTTTTGTAATACCAATTAAATGATATTTATAAAAACAAAAAATACATACAAACAAATTAATTAAATTTGCTGTACTTTAAATTTATATATTTTTTTAATAAATAAATAAATAAAAGTATAAAAAATAAATGAAGTGCGTTACTACGACTAATACGAATACGCCTGCACTTAAGTGAATATATGTGTATGTATATGTACATATGTACACTTCTTAAATATTGTATGTATAACAGGAGACACAAAGCGCATTAAAGACATAAAAATATATTATTTTAAATATTTAAAATTATTGAAGGCACTCTTTTAGCGTTCATTAATAGTAGTGTAATTATTTTATTTTAAATACCTACATATTACATACATACAAACTTACGTCAGTAGTGCTGTTTTATTGCAAAATCAATAGTTTTATTTCTAATGCGCCACGACTACAACTAGTTTTAAATAAATATATTATATAAATATTTTTTTAAATATATTTACTTCATGTTTATTAAACTCTTGTTAGCGCAAAACTTTGCGAAAAAAGCTTTAATTTAATTGTTTTTTTTTGTTTTTCATTAAAATTTTTTACTGATTTTTTATTTATTTTTTTATTGTTTCCAATATTATTTTTTTTTTAATTTTCTTATCTTCTTTAAAAATGTTGTTGTAATCTCACGTGTTTATCAATCAATGTTTTTTTTGTTATATTTTTGGAGTTTTTTTTAATTAGTTTTTTTTTTTTAATTTTTAATTTTATTTTTTGATTTTTTATTTATTTATTTTTTTCTTTGCCTCGTGGCATTTTATTTGAGTTCTTGTTTCATCATGCATATAAATCTTAAATTTATGTAAAATAGTGCTTTGCAAAGTAATTTTTAAGTTTTTGTAGTAGCAGTAAATGTAATGTATTAAGTAATTAAGCGAAATATCTTTAAAAAGACATTAATAAAACATTACATATTTTTATAAAATAAACTAAATGCATTTTTTATTTCTAAAAGTATACTAAAGGGTGTTTTTTTGCATTTGGTTTTCAAGAAAAAATAAAACGCATTTAAAATAATTTGGAATTTAGCTTTATTATGGAGATTTCAAGCAAGTGGCCACCACAGAGAGGCCAATCTATCGACCACTTGTTCTGCAATTAGATCCGTATGTCAGTTAAAAAGCGCCGCATATTCTCTTTCATGCTGTCAATCAACGCCAGCCTATCCGCATAGAAAAGCGACTTCACATAACCTCACAAAAAACAGACCAGTGGTGTTAAATTACACGATTTGGGAGGCAAGATAACCAAAAGTATTCTACAAAAATGACTATTTCGTTAACTGTACGACATGTTGCACCATCTCATTCGAACTAAAGGTCGTCCAGATCAACATCCTCTAATTTCGGCGGAAAAGCCATTGGCCACGAATCTATAACGTTACCTAGACGGTTCCATTTTTGAAAAAAATATATTTACCAATGATTTCCTCTACCCTTAGAGCACACTGTACGGAGACTTTTTGATGATATAACGGTTATCCAATTATCGGTTTGTGGATTATCATCATTCCAAATACGACAATTTTGTCCACTAATGTAGCAATTAAAGCAAAAGTGAGCTTCAAAAACTTGCTTGTTTTCACATCATCGGGTTCGGTGGCCATCTCACAACACATTCACCGAATCTGCGACACGCTTGATGAAAACTCGGCTTCAGTTCTTGTACAAGTTGCATTTTGTAAACCCACAAACCAAGACCCTTCCGCAAAATCAACCGATGTCTCAACAGGATGTGTACTATCCACTAGATTAAACGTGGTGCGAAACCGATCCAATGGTTTCTCGAATTACCAGCTTTGCTGGGCGATTATGTCTATCGAATATTTGATGCAGCGCACGATTTTTTCAGAGTACAAGTGAAGTTCTCTGCTGAACCTAATAGACGTTCATTAACACCACTTCAACTCGTCAGCCTTTTCATAACCAAAAATATTCAAAGATATATGTATGTCCATGAACACAGATTATGAAGATGGCGAGTGGATCTGCCCAAGCATAGAGCCTGCAATTATTGAAGACACGCAGTGGGAAAACTTGCTTGTTGTCTTCATCTTTCCTTATCTACATGTCTTTTCTATTTTTAGTACTTCCCCTTGGAATTCGAAAGACAGAATGAAAGGGAGATTTTAAGACCTTCGAAGTATACACCGGCCTCTACACCACCTTTCATTTTGGACCCATGGTGTAGATTGAAAGGATGTCCCTCCAACCCGCGATGCTGCTTCTTCACTCTCGTCTAGTAGGCATCATCAGCAACTATTGAGATCTAACCTTGGGGGGACATAGACTGATTTGCTTCACTTACACTGTAAAGGAAATTAAGCTTATAGGTCTGAAAACCACCTTTTCTTCATTTTTTCAACCTCTTCGTTAATTAGACTCTTGGATACTGATTTTGTAGATCCTTTTCAGCCATTGAACCATTGGTCCTTTGAGTTGCTGTAACGTAATGTGGTTAGTCCCATCTGGGCTCGCCTCTTTTAATGTTGAGACGCTGTTAATTGTATGGCTTGTTTTGTTCTTGTTCCCCATAAGATAAGGTTGGTTTATTGTAGTGAGCAGTGACGATGGTTGCACATCTCTTGCTGTTGTTTGTAATTTCCAAAGCAGATCAAGGGTTTCGCCAGCAGTAGTCGCCCAACCATGGTTCTCCTTCTTAATACTGGTTGGATTGAAGTGTTTTTTTGAACAAGATCCTACTAATTCCTGGAAATTCTATACAGTGGTTCTGTATTTGCCCTCCTAACGACTTCTTTATACTTCTCTCATTGTGTCTTTATAAGATTACTAGATTTTTGTCTGCCTTCTGTCTGTTGACAACGTCAAATCCGTAACATCCTCCCATCCCGATAACTTGGTAATATTAACAGTCATTTTGTCACCTTGGAATTTATTGACTCTGACCTCCTGGGTATCTGATTTTACTATATGTATATATGATAACCACCAGAACGATTTTCCGCCAAGCTCCTCCTTCAATTTGTGGTATGCGTCCTGTTGTTTTCCAGCAAATGGAGTCTCCTACAGTTTATCTGTGCCGCTTCCGAACGGTCATAGGATTTTTAAAGGAGCTTTTTTCCATGTGAGAAACACCTTCGGAGGACTTAACATTTCCTGCCGAGGAATCACTATTGAACTAGAACCTTTTTCGTAAATCCTCATAGTGACGACAATTTAATTTCAAGCCAAATACAAAAGAAATCGCGCTGCGGTGGGCGGAGAAGTTTTTTAAGATCTTTTAAAGTTCTTTCCACGGTCAATATATCGTGGTGCATTTTTGAGCAGTTTTTATGATAAAATATATATTCTTCTTCGCCATTACTGTTGTTGTTGTTGTACAAGTTCGCCGACCTCGCTAAGGAATAAAGTAATCGAGGTAATCTAACGGGAGGCCTAGGATACGAGCTGTTTCGCCGGGTTCGGACTAAAGGAGATGTGGTTAGATAAGTTGGTTTTAGGGGCATGAAAATAGATGATTAGTTGAGGACATATGTAGGTTAAGTATGTCAGGGTCGATTCTGGATAAGTAAAACTTTAACCTTCTACAATACCCAGACCTGAGTTGCGCTAATATTACCCTCGAGGCAGCTCGATGTGGTGGTGGTTTGACACCGAGAAAGCCGTTCAAAGGGAGAGAGAGTTTATGAAGATGTTAACGGTCTCTATAGGTGAATGGCGTTAAGTGCTTGTGTGTGTGCCGACATGTCCAGCGTCTGTTGTACATCTACTTTTTAAGTTGAGCACTCCCTTTTTTGATGTGCCTACGTCTCAGAAGGTTTCATGTTACGGTCTTGAAGGCGATGTTTTGGCACGCTAGTCCCCAGTGCCCAAATCAGTGCACCATAGGCTACGACCAGCCAATGAATCGGCTTTTAGATCGCTAGCAAAACTTCTTTATTTTCGAGGATTTTTTTTCCGGCAATTGCAGTCGTATGCGGAGTGAAAGCTGTCGAATCTGCTCTCTTGGGAATTTATTATTGGTCAATGTGTTAATAGAATGGAAAACTATTTTAACTGTTTTTAAATTTATGAATATAGAACCGTTGACTTTTCAATGCATAATAAAAGTATATTTAAAAGATGCATAAACTTAGGCGCAGTAAGGAATTAAGGTCGCATGACATATTTTAAGATAAGAGCGATAATCTTCCGTAGAAGCGAACTTTGAATTGCACGAATGTGAAGATTGAGTTATTGTATTATTTTCATACTTACTAAATAGTTTTTATAACAAAAATACATTTTTATATTTTTATTTACAACTAAAATTTTTTACTTTGCATTTATACAAAATTAAAATAATATATTTGCATTTAGTTGTGCAAAATTTTATAATTGCACATTTCAATATTAAAATAGCTAAGTAGTTACAGTTGTTCTATTTAGATACGCATGCCCAAGTCTATGAAAAATACATACATTTTACAATTTAAAAAATATTTTCTAATATAATTAAAACTTTTAATTCTACTATGACTTCAATTTTCCTTCTTTGCACCTGTTGTGCTAGCTGATCCAAGCCCTGTGTCAACAGCTTCATTCGAAACAGCTGACTGTTCACCTTCATCTTGTGCTAAAGTTTTGTTTTTAGATCCAGTAAATGGACAACTGCCTCCTTTACACTCGAACGGGAACTCAGGTGCATTTTTTATCACATTACCCTCAGCATCCTTTTTCTCCCAAGGATTCCAATAGCGCTGTATGATTGGTAACACTATTGGCTGTATGAACTTGTGCCAAATGTATAGCAGCACGGGAATGATGAAGCAAGGTACACAAACCATTTTTGTCGAAGCACTTTTCGTGGCTGGGAATGCAATGAGTTTGCAAGAATTTATGTGAAATTTTTTTCTTATCTAAATCGAGGAAAAATTTTGCAATATAGAATTTTTAAAATTTTTACACACTGTTTATTAATTTACGCAAGTTTGATTGAATTTTAATCAAAACAAACATGGAACTGCCAATACAATTATTTTTGCAGATTTTTGTTTCCATTAAATCATATGTGCTCGCCAGACAGCGCACGTAGCATTAAGTTCGAACATAAATGGATGTTCACGTATCAACATTTTATTGAAATGGAAATCTATGATTCAAAACATAAATATGAGAGAAATATGCAACAAGCAACAAGAAAGATTTGTATGTAACAGTTTTGGGATTAATAAGTGCATGCATAGCAAAGATCGTATATAGTTTTTATGGATTTATTTCTGTTTCAATTAAACTTTATAATTGCATCCCTACATGTAAAATACTCGTTGCTTTTACTCGTCCAAACATTTTTAATTGAACAGCTGTCACTCGTTTTTTGCAATTAGACTCATTCGGTTGTTGGTTTCGTTAAGCGCTTCGAGTACAGGTGAAATTCGCATTGTTGTTTTTTTGGAAACTGATTGAGTTAATTTTTGTTATTTACCCAAATATAATTAAAACATCACAGGTAAATAATTATTAAAATATAGATCAGCGCTACTGAATTACACCGAACGTGTGCAAAGCTACTGTAAATCGCGAGTGAAGTGAAGTGCTGTGATGTTGGCATTGTGTCTAGCAAAGAAAGTTTAAAATTCAAGTTGTTAAACCCAATAAATTCAGAAAAAGATTTTGCAAAATTTTTAAAAACGCAAATATACAAAAAAAAAAAATAACAAAATTTTCCATTAGGTTTTAGTGTACAAAATTAGTGCATTCTCCGATAAAATTGTTCACAGCTATTTTCGTTTTTGCCTTTACCATTTGGATTAAACGCAGTAACTAGAAGTCGAGCAATGTGGAGTCCAACACACATACAAGTTACGGGTGAGTCAATATTATTATGGAGTAACCTTTTATGGAAAAACTACTAGCTACGCCGCCTTTCGTAATTAACAAAACAATGAAGATCAAAATTGCAAACATTTTCAGACAAGAAAATTCAAATAAATTCTATACTTTAGTTTTATATGAAAAGTTAATTTGAAAATATTACTGAATAAAAAAAGAAATCCACTTGTTTTTGGTTTAAACAACAACAACATGATTGTGGTTCGTAACAGCACAGCATTGAAAACGTTAACTGCGTCAGCGGCTGGCTCACTGTCATCATTGATATCAAAGCTACAAGCTGACGGAATTGTGTGCCGCCACTTTCTTTGTGCATATAAATATATATGTACTTATGTATTTACTCATCTAGGTGTACAAAATGGAATCACAAACAGATACACCTCACAGCAATTCAGATTGCTGAGCCGAGAACTGGTTTTTAAATAGAAAATCATCGCCTTGTATCAACCAAAACAACAAAAATAACAAAAATTCCAAAGTGTAATATACGCTGAAACAAAGCTCATAGTACCAGGCGAATATGTGTGTAGCAAAAAATCGTCACAAACGTGGCGAATGTGAACGGGCTCTGCAAATCGCATCGAAAACGCATTCCAAATGAAATCAAATCAGCAACACAGACAGTGTATAATCTCAATGACTTCCAATAGTATGATTTTTTAATGCCGTCGTTTTAAATATTGTGTGTGGCATTGTTTTCCAAACAAAGTTTTGGTGAGCGGCACGCTAAATCTATATTTAAAACTGCCGCAGAAAGATACGATGACAGACTGGTAGTGACCGGTACGATTAACGTTCAACTTTGTACGGTCGGTCAATTTGTGGTCTTATTTTCACTTTTTAACACTCTCCACTATAATAATTTGTACAATTTTCTACAATTCATTTATATACATATGTATGTATGTGCGAGCATGTAGAGTGTGTAAACAATTTCGATTTTTCTGCACAAGTGCATATGTACATATATACATTCATATCTACGTAGTTGGTATGTTTGTTTGTTTGCTGAGATTAAGGCCTCTTAGATTGAACTCATCATGAGTACATACATATGTACATACATACAAAAGTGCATACGGGTGAGTGTACAGACAAGACGGCGGGGTTCATGTGCCACTTTCTACATTGTGCCATTGTTCTCAACAAATTTATTTGCGCTTGCATGAATTTGTGACAGCATACGTACATTTCCTCAAACATACTTATAATTGAAAATGCCTAGTTTTGTTGCCCCAGTACACCTCATTTTAGTTTAGCTAGCTTGTGCATAGTTGTTATTGTTGGAAACTGCCGCCGCTAATGCCATCAAAAATATCATTATTTGCCAAAATGCTCGTCATTCAACGCCACCCGCTTATGTACATACATATGTGCATACAGTTGTAGGGTTTTTAGCTGTGTCACGTGATGATCGCTGCCGCTTTAGCTTAGTTCTCTCTTTGCTCGTTGCAGATTTCACTTTATTTGGCATGCAATTGCTGATTTTGGTTAACAATTTTTGTTTACGTGCTGAATTCCAATGAACTCAGAGCGAAAATTTGCCAAAAAAAAAGTAAGAAATAAATAAAAAAAAAAAATGGAGAAAAAAGCAGCTAAAGTAATTTTCAGCAATATTTATAGCTAAAAATAGTTCACTCGTATTAGAGCGTAAATTCATAAGTAGGCAAGTGTTGTGCTGTACTACTTGTAAGCGGAAATTGCCTATTGAGAAATTGGCAATCGTTCAATATTTGAGTTTATTAAGAAAAATAAAAAATAAATATTTATTTTCGTTTTTTTTTCTCCAACAATATTATGCAGATTAATATGCATTTGTTTGTACCAACCTAAAAAAAACTCTAAATTTTATTAGGCTCCAAAAGTGTTTAAAATCATAATTTTACTCGTATTAAAACTTCTTCCAAGCATATTTTCTCAAAAATTATTTTCTGATAAAATTCTTGAGCTAACGAATTGGCTTATGAATCATAAATGTCAATAAAAAAATCGTCGTATTTCGATTTAAAAGTACGTACGTATATGTATATACATATTTGTATGTATTTATTTCTGTAACATATGCATGAATGAGTGAACTTATTTGATTTATAATGTAAACGCAAAATCTCTCTATTGTTTTCCACTCTCTGATTTTTATCAAAATTTGTTGTTTTCTAAACAAATATACGAGTATATTGCTTTCTGTGAGTTCGCTTAAATATCTAAATGAAAATTCCCAAAAGATAAGATAAGCATACCACTCTTAATGCTAATGTAAGATTACAATAACTACAAAAAAAAGAAATTCTCATACTCTACATACATTTGTATATATGCATTTGACTACTTCTAATAGTGAAATGTTTTTGAGAAATTTCTGTTGTAGAAATTCGAGGGCTATCATCGAGAAATATTAGTCATTTTTTAAGCCACTGAAAAAAATGTTAGCAGGAGCGTAAGCAGAAGGAGTGAGTAATACGAAAGAAATGCCTGAAAAGGTACAAATCTACATAAATATACTATGCAGATACGTAGCTACATAGTTATATGTATTTTTGTTTGAATATCAATGAGTTTAATAGTGCATTACAAGGTAAAACTTCATTTTACTTGTCTGACCTTTACTACTTTTTTCTTCTTTTTTTTTTTGGCAAAATATCATTAGTGAAAATTTTGCAAAATTCAAATGTTGAACGCTGCCACACTAAAAACATTGAATACATATACAAACGTAAAAATATATTCGAGTATGTATACACATATGTATGTATGGGCCCTCATGTAAATACATATGTATATTTTTTTTTGTAGCTTTTTGATAATTCGGTACATTTTATTGCCACTTTTAATAAATTGTAGTGCAAAATAATTATTGCTCACGGTGCCAGGCACAAGTTTTTGAAGAAAAAAAATCAAAAAAAAAAACAAAAATCAAAAAATAAAAATAGAGAAAAAACGTTAAAAGCTGGTATGACATTTACTAAGCATGATGACAACTGCTATATGAATGTATTTTCTGTAACAACAACAAAAATATATATTTTATGTACCAACCAATTAGCTCAAATCGTTGTAGTTACGTGCCTACTGGTATTTCTTATCGAAGGCACGCTAATATTGACCTGTTGGCTATATACAATGAATGCATACAAATATAATCACATATTCTCAGAAATATGTATGTACATATGATTTTATTTAGTAAACCTGTCGGTATTAAAATTAAAATTTTCTTTGTTTCGAAATGTTTTCAAATTTACCAACAAATCCTGCATATCAATATTTGTAGAAGACGTTAATTTAAATCTGAAAACTAAACAAATTTATCAACAAGTAGCTAGTCAAGTTGTTTGCCCCATTCAATTTAAAATTACAAAATATTTGAATTTTTCATACTTATATGTGTATTTGGATAATTTTGTATGTATGTATGTTGGCTTGTGTATTTATTTAAGTTCACAATTATATTTAATTAAACACAACCAAAGTTATCAGAAAAATTATATTTTTTTTTAAATTTTTTTATTTTGCCTCCGCTTCACATATGCATATATTTACATGTACTTGTTATATGCTTATAATCGCTACAACGAAGTAATTCAAGTTCATTATTACTCATTTATATTCGCTATTTATTATTTATAATGATATGGCTGCATGTTTATTATTTTTATTTTATTATTTTCCTTTCTTGTCAATCAGAAGCACAAAACAGCTGTATGAAAATAGCGTACGTAAATGCGAATAAACTCTTTGCTGAAAGCAAATGAGTAATTTTTCATATAAACCATATATGTATGTATGTATGTATGTATATCATATATCAAGTTACGTGTACATGCATTGCAGTTTTTTTAATAAAAAAATAAATGTAATACTTGAACTTGTAGAGTTCTTACTTTAAAATATGAAATTCATTGTTTACATTGTAAATAGTACCTTGTTTTTTAAACATATTTTTTTATTTTTTTTACAATTTTCATTAAAATTTTATTTAAACTTAATGTTAATTAATTTAATTTTTGTCTTGATTTTTTTTATTTTACGTAAATCAATTTGTTTTTTTCTTAATTTATTTAATATAAATTGCTTATTCCCCTTTTTTAATTTATTTGCGTTTAATAATAATTTATTTTTGCTTAAATTAATTTTATTTTATTTTTATTAATTAAGATTCATTTATTTGTTTTTTGTTTAGCTATATTTATTTTATTTTATTTCAGTTTATATAAATTGATTTAATTTTTTATTTGATTTATTTTATTTTAAATATCTGTTATTCAATTTGAGTTAACTAAATTTTCCCAAATTATTCATTTAATTTAATTTAGTTTAGTTTAATTTATTATTTTAGATGCTTTCTTATTGGTAGAAAATTTCGTGTTAGGCAAAAAGTTACTCCACTGAATCCTATGAAATATTTGCTTGTGTTCCACAAGGAAGTGTTTTAGGGCCCGTCTTATATTTAATTTATACGAACGATCTACCCACAAACCGAAACCTCGTCAAATCAATTTTTGCGGATGATACAGCAATACTTAGTGTCCATTCAAACCCCATGACAGCCAGTTACAGATTAGAAGAACATTTAAAAGTAATAGAAGAGTGGCTAACAACTTGGAGAGTTGAAGTCAATGAGTCTAGGTGTATACAAGTAACATTTACCCTAAAAAAAGACACATGTCTTTCAATCTCTATAAAGAATTCGTTACCTACCTGGGAGTTACATTGGATGTAAGACTCACCTGGAAAAACCAAATAGACAAAAATATTACTCAAACCAAATTGAAAATTGCGAACTTGCATTGGATTGTTGGCTCTAAGTCCAAACTAAGTCTAGAAAACAAAGTTTTACTTTTTAATATGCTTCTAAATCCATCTTGGACGTACGGGATTCAAAATTGGGGCTAAATCTAGCCTAGATAGAATTCAAAAACTGCAGTCTAAAACCTCGTTGCGCTCCACATAATATCCTTCATGATATTATAATT